TCAGGAAGGGCACTTGTTTTTGGAACATAGAATTTTCTTCAGCAAGGGCACTTGTTTTTGGAACATAGAATTTTCTTCAGCAAGGGCACTTGTTTGCGTGCGATGCTTCGTGTTGGCGATATCCTGGATGCCGTGCTTGATCCAATTGATATATCAAGTCAAGTGGGGTATGGCTCAAAGGCACGTTGGCCCGTCTTGACGAAGAGAGGAGCGAATAATCGAGTGATTGTGTGGCATCATGGCACGGGCACGGGATGAGAGCCAGGCCAGTTGGGTGGTGGGGATAGATGTTTGGTATGGCTTTTGTCTGTTCCCTAATCTCACCATCTTCTACTCTAGTAAAAAGAGAAGATGTTTTTGAACAAAATATGATAGATTTATAAAAGACTATAAAAAAGAAAATACGACAATAGAAAGGTCTCTTGTAGCTCAGTGGTTAGAGCAAATGGATGTTAAAACCGCCAGTACCTTTCTCACGTACCGGCAGCGCCCGCAGCCAATGGATGTGGTCGGCGCCGGAGGCCGAATCGGGCCTCCGCGTTAACCGCTGCGCGCCTGTTCCATCGGGGAAAGGTACTGGTTGTTTAAGTGCGCTGCAACTACGGGAATTTTACAAAATGATTTAAAAAGGGTAATTGGCAAATTGCTTATTCTACTTGTGGCCAATTAGGCTATATGGTATTCGCTTGTGGCATCTCCAATTATTCTGTGAGTGTATTTTATATGATGAACCATGCTCTTTTTAAAGCATTAGGAAAGAACTGCAGCTCACACGGAAGTCACATAACCATCCTTTCCGAGAGTTTTACTTTGAGGATATGTGTGCCCCGTGGTCGTGACAGTGGGGTCGATCCCGGCCCGCTGTCGGGATCTCAAACGCGGCTGCGGTCCACTGCGGTTGGGTTGCGGCCGCGGGCCTTCGCGGATTTTTCCCCGCCGAATAAATGGGAAAGCAAAAATAAAAAATTGTGGTTGTAGACTACGTAGCACCGTGTTCGCATTCAGAGGCGAACGCGGACATGTTCGCCCGAACGCGAACAAGCGCCCAAAACCCTCTGATCGCGAACATTAAAAAAAAAAAAAAAAAAAAAAAACAGAGTTCTCTAAAAAATCTGGAAAAAATATATGTTATGTAAAATAATAATACAAGCAACTTTTGCCATTGGAGTCATGTTCAAATTCGTAACCAATCATGAGTTAAAAATCAAAAACCGAAAAAGTATCTGTTTTTTTTTTTTTTTACGACAAATAAATTATGCTTGCCGGAACATGTTCGTTAGCTGTTCGCACGAACCTGCGAACATGTTCGTGCATGAAGGGGTGCGAACACCGTTGGCCATGCTACGCATAGTTTTTTTTTTTTGGGGGGGGGGGGGGGGGGCGGGGGGGCAAAATGCTCCAGTCTATTTGTGCGGAGCAGCTCGTGCTGGGAACCGGGCCCAATGTCCCATATAGAATTATACAAATCGTATGAAATATCGGGGCCATTACGTGGCTTCGGCTAAGAACAAACTGAGAACTGTTAAAGAAATTCAGAGAAACTTAGGAAAAACGTGGATAACTGCTAACCTATTGCTAGGCAACTCGAGCAGCGCTTACCAAGTAAAAAAGGAAAGCCACAGAGGTCCTTCAAATGCTCAGAGCCCCTCTAAAATTCTCTAACCCTGTCTTATTCCCTGTCGAGCTCTCCCAGGCCTCATGCCCCCACCCTGCTAGGTTACAAGGCGACACGACTCACCCCAGCTCCGGCCGGCATCGTCCCGACAGCAACCCTTGGTTTTCCCTTGGAATGCCCGCCCCAAGGCATCCCCAGATTTCTCTACCAGGCCTCACACCCTTGCTATCAAAAGGTTACAGGGCAACCCCCCCAGCGCACTGGCAATCTGGCATCGAAAAATTGCAGATCCATGAACATAACAGCATCAAAAAAGCCTAAAGTTCCTCCCTCTGCCCTCCAACCCTCTGCTCTTCTTCATCCCCCGACAAGCTGACCTCCTCCACCCATAGTTCGTGGGATGAGAACAACAGCCGCAACCAGACATGGACACCTTCCTCGACTCTTCCTCCTCTCGCGACGAGCCGACCTCCTCCACCCATAAGTTCACAAGAGAAGGAATAGCAGAAATCAGGTGAACTTCCTGAGAACAAACCAAGAGATTTTAGTGAGCCCGAGTGAACTGTCAGCCTGTTAAAACTAGCTGCTCATGAAAAAAGCTCTTTTCTGAACAAGCTTCGAAAATCAAGAGACCATCCTCCCACTTCCGTACATCCCCCTTACTCTTCATCATCTTCCGATGAGCCGACCTCCTCCACCACGTAGTTCGGAAGATAAAAACAGTAGGCAAGCAACCTCACCGAATCCATCAGGGTTAAGAGCAGACATCAGCTCTTCATCTTCCTTCGACGAGCAGACCTCCTCCACTACATAGTTGGAAGAAGAAGAAAGGTAGTCCATCCCAAAGTGACCTTTGATTGTGTAAGAAAAGTACTCCAACCCAAAGTGACCTTTGATTGTGTTTTACGAGTCGGCGATAATCGAAGGAACCGCCCTCCCTCTTCCCTCCAACACCTTACTCTTCCTCATCCCCCGACGAGCCGACCTCCTCCACCACAT